AGGTGGCACGCGAAATTTTTAGTAAAAGTTTTAGTTTGTCAAATTCTGGCTAAAATTTCGACTTTTTATTAGGAGAATATAATTTTAGAAGAGGTGGCACGCGTATTTTTTAGTGAAATTGTTAGTATGGCATATTCTGCCTAAAATTTCGACTATTTATTAGGAGAATATAATTCTAGAGGAGGTGGCGATATTTTTACTGACATTGTTAGTTTGTCAAATTCTGGATAAAATTTCTACTTTTGATTAGGAGAATATAACGCTAGAGGAGATGGCACGCGAAATTTTTAGTGAAATTGTTAGTATGGCAAATTCTGGCTAAAATTTCGACTTTTGATTAGGAGAATATAATTTTAGAAGAGGTGGCACGCGAAATTTTTACTGACATTGTTAGTTTGTCAAATTCTGGCTAAAATTTCGACTTTTGATTAGGGGAATATAATGTTAGAAGAGGTGGCACGCGAATTTTTTAGTAAAAATGTTAGTTTGTCAAATTCTGGCTAAAATTTTGACTTTTTATTAGGAGAATATAATTCCAGAGGAAGAATCTCATCAATGTTTTTTCATGAATTCTAAATTTCGATGATTTTGGTCGATTCTTCCATTTTGTATTAGGAGAGTATGTTTGACGTAGAGATGGCACATTTTTTCCGGAGATTCTTAATCTGAAATTTGAACGAATTTTTATTTTCTTATATGGTGAGTATTATTTAAGAAGGAATATAATGTACTTACCTTATATACTTACCTGATATACTTACCTTATATACTTACCTTTTAGGTTCGTATGTTCCATTTTTTTTCTTTTTTTTTTAACAGTTTACTTAAGTCTAGAGATACTTACCATTTGCATACTTACCTTTTTATACTTTCCTTCGCCTTATTGTGTCTTGTTTTTTTACAATTTGCTTACTTCCAATGGAATTCTGTATAAAAAAAATACTAAATCATGTAATTCAAAAAATTATTAGTTTGAAAGATAATTAAACGAAATTAAAATATCTCCTAAACCAATGATTTTTTGTTAAAAGTGGCCTAGTATTTTTTTTATAAAGAATCGCATCATCTCATATATTTAAAAAATATGTGTGATTCTCTATCTCTAAAGACGATAATTTATTTGCCCATTTACGAAAAATGATCAATATCATGATACACTTTCTTTCAAATCATTCTATTTCTATCTAAAATACTCTCTTTAATACTATTGAAATTAACAAACGAAATATTCTTCATGAAAAAAGAATTAAATGCATTTGTTATAATGATTTATAACATCCCTCTATATATACAAAAAAATATTGGATTCGGTTTTTTCTATACAAAAATATTAAGCAAAAAATAATAGAAATCTCGAAATACGAAAACAATTTTGGAATCATTCCATTATTAAATATATTCATTTAAATGATATAATTTTGTTCGAAGAATATATCTCGTAACGTTAAGGAAAATTTATCCTAACTCCATCTATCGATCTACGTTAGACTTCTTTTCACACGAAAGATTATATTTTTATTCGTTTCGTTATCGAAGAGCTTGTATCACTATGTTGAGCAAAGTAACGCCATTCACTTATCTATCATTGATAATGATAAACATATTCAACAAAAATATAATTATATCTACGTTATATAACAGTATTGCGAAAAAAATATCGCAATCTACATATTATATTCTGTTTCGTAATGAATAATTAGAAATAAAAAATCGAAATATATTTGATATCTGAATCTTTTTTTAAAAGAAAATCTCTTATATAAATATCGATTAACACTCGTTTCAATTTGAACAGCAAATGCGAACTTCTGACAAACTAATAATTAAAAAAAAGAATTAAACTATACTAACAGAAACTATTTATCGAAAGAAAATAAAAAAAAGTAAATAATAAAAGAATAAAACCCAATTCACAACTTCGAAACTAACCTCATTTCTCATTCTATATCGCTTTCAATTTTAATATTCACTCAGAACACCCTTCTTTCAATTTTTCCATAACTTTCACGAAAAAAAAAAAAAAAAAAAAAAAAAAGAAAATTCCTAACTTCAAACAATAACTAGAAAAATTCTGTAATTCACGCGCGAAGAATCGTAAAATCTCTAAAAAAAAATTCCACAAAAGAATTTCTTTTCGAAAGAAAAGAATCATCAAAATTTCCCTGATCTTTCTAATTTAAAAAAAAAAAAAAAATTCTAAAAACTACGTCAAAAGGAAAAAAAAAATAAATCAAGAATTCTACAACAAAGTCTTCCTCTCCTCGCGGGGGAGGAGGGTTGTTTCCTCCCCAATGGTCCCTTTTATCGAACGGTTTGTCGCGTTTTGATCGTACGCGCCCCAGGCGACGGGCCATTCACTTTCGTTTCGTCGGGGTGGTTGCACGATGCGTCGCGCGAAGGGTAGAGGGTTGAAGAGGGTCGCGCAGCCGCGTTGACCGTTGTCCAGCCGGTGGATCGCGGATTATCCTCGCACCTGCACGATCGAGAGGACGAGAACGTGTGAACGTGGGAAGAGGGTTGGCAAATTGGTGAATCCAGTTGGAAAACACGAGCAGCCAAGATAAGGGGATCACGAGTCGCGAACGGGGAGTCCAGTGAGTATTTCCATCCCCTTTCAGAGAGGGCGGTGAATTTTTATTGCCGTGAAAAGAAAAAAAAATGGTGTTGGTTGAAAGAAATGTTTATCGAAGAAACATGGAAAAATAAAATAAAATTATTGCGTTTTGGAATTATTGGCAAGGATGGTTGATTTTTTTATTAAAATTTTGATCGAATGGATAGGTTGTAACTGTTAAGATAACTTTTAATTAGCCTCTGAGTAAAATAATAATTCAAATTCTTGGCAATCTTATGGGTTGAATTGGAATAAAAAAGAAAAATTATTCAAATGTCGTTTAAAGTTGGGAAATATCGTCCTTGTAGTTAACCACAAGAAGTTGTATTAAAGAGAAACATCTATAGTTATAATTTAATAGTTTCTTTCCTTCATCTGGAATCGTCGATTAGGGGCAGAGAAACAAAGTAGCAAATTGTACTTACAAGTTGGAGGAAACGGAAAGAGCAAGCAGGTGTTCAATGTAAAGTACCCCGTTGCATTATTAATGAACCGGGATCCTCGTGACAATCTCTACCGATCGATATTTTCGAACGTGTTTTCCCTATTGCGGCTGGGTTTTATTAAAAATTAATCTCACGCTGTGTCAATTTATAATTCATAATCCAAATATATTTATAATCGCACATTCCGTTACAAAACATCGAAATTACAAATTCTTTGCATATTCTCTCGATTCAAACTCGTTCAAACAACTTCAAACCTCGAGAAATTTCCATTATTTATCAATAATTCTCAAATCTATTCCCCAAAATCACCACGAAACAATTCCAATCTCGATTCAAACCCTCTCAAACAACCTCAAACCACGTATCCCACGAACGATGATAAACAGCGATAAACAAGCGACGCGAAATATCGAGTCGCATAAACGCGGCAAGTCGCAACGTAATCGATAACACAATATTGTGACGTATATATGCATAAAGTCCAGCCTGTGAACCGTTCTGCAAACCACCCTGAGCCGGAGAAACTGTTCAACAAGTCGAGGCCAGCGATCCTGGCATTGACACTACTAAGCCAGGTGCTGTATTATTTAACGCGTCCACGATCAATGATGGTTTTCTTATGGATCGAGTGAACCGTAACTTTTCCATCGTATTTCCGCGATGGCGGCGCACTTGGCTGAGCTCGTTCGAAGAATAGGCTTGGACTTGTTGAGCTGATCGCAACAATCTTCGGATAATACAAATCCGGCAGGATGCTGGATCGTTTTAGAGCCGCGTTCAAGTGTTCTGTGCCGAAATGTGGCAATTTCCGGTTTCCAGGGATGGAGAAGCCCGAATCCTCGACCGAGGATGGGAGCAATGGAGAACTCGAGGACAGGGATCCGAACAGTTTGAACAAACATCTGCAGGTATGTTGAAAATATCGATTTCTTGAGAATTTTAATTTTTTTTTAGAGAGAATTTATTATATAAGAATGAAACATTTGTGAATTTGTATAAAAATGAATGACCTTTTAATGACATTTAAAAAAAATACTTTTTTTTAAATATTTTTTATATATTTTTACTTGCTATAATTTTAAAAATTATCTAAAGTACTGTGTATGTAATGTAAATTTTTACGAACGAATCGTCGTAAATATAATAAAAATTAAATTCTATCCATGAAATTTTTGCTTGGTTGAAAAAATATCGAGCGTCACTATTGTGTTGGGATACAGGTGATGTGGGATGACGTGATCGGTGAACCGGAAGGAATACGCAGTCCAGAGTGCGCGTGGCGATTGAGCGGACACTGTTTCCGATTGTCCAGAAGATGTTGTTACGTGTTCCTCTCCGTCCTGATCGCCCCTTTTCTCTCTCTCTGCCTAGGCCTCACCTTCGCCTGCCTCGCGTTTCAGGTGAGTCGACGACCTTTTTCTCGATTTATGCCCGATCGATGCTGTTCCTAACCTCTCTGCACAATACGAGCAACGTTACAACGATCGTTACGATTATTCTCGACTTGTTGCAAATGTAGGTCGTCGCTTTGTTGCCAAACTTCAATTTGGAAGAGAATTTTTTTTCTTACTAATTTGAATTAAATTCAAGCCTAACCTAATCCAATCTCAATACAAATCTATTTCACACTTATAATTCAAATTTAATCCAATTTTAATTTAAATATAATATTACAATTTATATATTATTATAAAAATAACGTTCGATTGGAAAACGAATTAAATGGATACAAATTTTTAGCATATTTGGTGTTTGGCACCGTGTCTCCGCGTTTGGAAGATCACTTGTGCCGCGACGAGGAATTTCCTTAGCGTTGTCACGCAAGCCATCGTACGTCCCATCATGGAGTCCCTTGGCTATCTGTTTCACAACATTCGGATATTCAACAAGAAATTGCCCGATGGTCCTGCGGAGAAAGACGATATCCTCGTGGTGTAAAATCGATAAAGTTTTATCAAGTGCCTTTCGAATCGATCGATAATGATCACCATGAAATATATTCTATCTTTTTCCTCTTTTTCCAGTAACAATCGTTTTTCACATTTCTATTCCGTGATTGCAATTTTAATTGTTTACGGTGTAGAATTGTCAGTAGTGAAAAATACTGGTTAATCTTTGATTATATTATATATTTGATTCATTAAAATAATAATATATATATATATTTATTGTTATAAATTTTTGTAAATAAAATACATTCTAAGAATCTATTGTTGTGGATATTATTTATCAGTTAATTATATAAAATTCATGTTTTGAAATTTTTTTACAACCATGATATTACGATTTAAAGTTTAAATCTCTTTTTATTGGATGAATTAATGGTGCTATTTCTTATTAGATACGTTACTGACATCATACATATAAATTTATATATAAATTGGATTCTGACGAAACAATTTAATAAAACAAATAAGAAACAAGGAGAACAAATCGAGGTATCAAGTTTACCACTCTTATGCGAGGTCAAATTAGCACGAGATAAGATGCGACTCGCCAAGATCAACTTAGTTTTCTGTCGACTAGGAACATGGCAGCCCTCACGAGAAGATTTCTATCGAAATACAATGGATTTTCTTGTACAAGTTTGAGACGTATCCTTTTTTTATTTTATACCGAGAGAAAAAGATCGCCATCTATAACCTTTCTTTTACAAATACAAATAGATTTTATCTTTGATTATACGTATTTTTTAAAAGCACATGTCATCTGATTTATTTACTATTATTATTCTTATCAGTGATTCATTCAAATTATCAGAAATTTCACTATCATCTACTGGCAGAGATAAAGGTAAGTTTTTAATGATATTTTTTAATGATATTTACTTCGCTTTTCACCTAAAATGCTGCATCGTTTATAAGTTTTCCAATTCGCTACTAGATGGCACCATGTATCGATCATCGAGCGCCACGTGTTTCGAATACAATCACGCTAAATTTAATTTTTCTTTTTTATTCAAAATAACAATTTGTCTTAACTATCTAATAATCCAAAACTAATAAGTCTCATTCTGAATTTTTTAATTTTATCAACAGTTAACAACGCCTTCAACTGGGAAGATCCATTCAATCTCGAGTCTCAACTGACATACGAGGAGGTATTGATCAGAGATCAGTTACGAACCTATTGTGGCGAGAAACTTTTGCCTCGAGTAATCGAAGCGAATCGCAATGAAATCTTCCACAAAGAGATAATGAGGGAAATGGGCGAGTTGGGCATCCTATGCTGTACCATAAAGGGTTATGGGGCCGCTGGTGTCTCCTCCGTGGCGTATGGGCTTATTGCAAGGGAAATCGAGTACGTGGACAGCGGATACAGATCCGCTCTGTCGGTACAAACGTCTTTGGTTGCCGGTGCGATTGACGCTCATGGAAGCGATGCACAAAAAGAAAAATTCTTACCGAAATTAAGTACGTTTCCCTTAACATCTCAATTAAATTGATCCTCTGTAAAATTGCTCGAATAATTTAATAATTTAATCCACGATTCGAATCCAACCTCTAAAATTCTATCTATTCGTATTTCCAGTATCGGGCGAGTATATCGGCTGCTTCGGATTAACAGAGCCCGACCACGGAAGCGATCCCTCTTCCATCGAGACCAAGGCGATTTACGATTCCAAAAAAAAAGTTTACAAATTGTCTGGAATCAAGATATGGTCGGTTCTTTAGAATAATTCTAAAAAAAAAAAAAAAAAAAAAATCTCCATCCTTTTCTCAATCATTCCTTTCCTTTCAATCCAGGATCACGAATGCTCCGATCGCCAATATAATGATAATCTGGGCGAAATGCTTGGAGGACAACGAGATGCGAGGATTCATCGTAGAGAGGAAGGAGAACGAGAATCGACTGATCACCCCTGTGATCAAGGGTAAATTCTCTCTGAGGTGTTCCATCACAGGTATGATCCTCATGGACAACTTGGAGGTGCCGGAGGAGAATATGCTCCCGAACGTGAAAGGTCTCAAAGTAAGTTTCGAAAGTTTTCGGTGTAACGTGGAGCCCTCACCCTTGAAGAAATGCTCGTACAGGGACCGTTCGTCTGTCTGAACAACGCCAGATACGGAATCGCTTGGGGCGCTTTGGGTGCAGCCGAGGCCTGTTTACACATATCCAGAGCGTACAGTCTGCACAGGAAACAGTTCAAAAGGCCATTGGCCGCTAATCAATTGATACAGAAGAAGCTGGTCGAAATGATGTGCGACATTTCGTTTGGCCTTCAAGCTTGTCTGAGGGTGGGCAGGCTGAAGGACGAGAACAAGTAAGGCTTAATATTTTGAATTGGAAAATCGAGATAGATTTTCGTTGAATAAGAGGATGAACATTTGTATCGTTATAAAATTTTTCAGAGCCACCCCAGAGATGATCTCGATGATAAAGAAGAATTCTGCCATGAAAGCATTGGAAATCGCTAGGAACGCTAGGGATATGTTGGGTGGCAATGGAATATCCGATGAGTATCATGTTATCAGGCACATGATGAATCTGGAAAGTGTTGTCACTTATGAAGGTACGTAAAAAAAAAAAAAAAAAAAANAAGGTACGAAAAAAAAAAAAAAAAAAAAAAAAAAAAAAAGAAAAGTATTTTCGATCGTGATAATAATTATAATTAGTATCGGGAAAATGAATGAAACGAGATTTTTCTTCAATATTATTTGTCACAGGTACGGATAATATCCACACTTTGATACTCGGCAGAGCGATTACCGGCCTGTCGGCCTTCGGTAAAGAAATGTAAAGAGATTGTTCATCGTACAATTATATTATATATCTATTTTTATACGAACTTATTTTATATGTAGATTGTACATTTATATATAGTTTTGATAAATCGAATTGAAAAAAAAAGAAAAAATTAGTATATATATATATATAAAGAAGGATGATTACAAATAAAATAAGAACAAAGTGTTTTTGAATTTAGTAAGAAAAAAAAAAAAAAAAAAAAAAAAAAAAAAGAATTAGAAAAAAAGAAAATGAAAAAAAGAATCGAAGATTCGAACTCAGTTTCAGTGAAGTTTTGGTATATAAGTTTGGTCTTAATTTTTATTTCGACACTGTCGAATTGCACATTTTTTCTTTTTCTTTTTTTTTTTTTTTTTTTTTCATCCTCCTCTTCCTTTCTATTCGAATTGATTCGTAAGAAGGAGCAGCAAAACAACACACGAGTCTCATCTAAAGATCGTTGTTTTCTTCGACAAGGGCGTGCCACAACACAAGCGACTCCGATTTAATCATAAATAAATTAAGTTTAATTGCTAAGTAATAAAACGTTAATTACATATGTCAATGATAATTAATTTAAGTACAACACACGTCTCGTGCAAAAGTGTAAAGAAGTTTTTTCTTTTTCGTGCTACACTCAATTACCATTTTTTTTTTTTGTATTTTTTTTTTTTTTTTTTGTATTTTTTTATCTTGTTTGTTTTGGTTTATTTTGTTTGGTTTGGTTTTGGTTTTTTGCCACCCCTCGACATCAAGATTCTTAACCCCCCGTTTTTTCCCCCCATCATTCTCCCCCTATATACTATCTTCCCTGTGTGTCTGTGTATATACGTGTGTATTCATGTCCCTGTGTGTCGGCTGCGTGTACGGTATTTTTTTTTTTTTTCTCATTTTTCTTCTTTTAAATGGTTCTCGACTACAATAAGCTCTTGGTAAAACGTAGTTTACAGTAGTTTACAATCGCCCCCAATCGCCACCGCAACTTTGTGTATCTCTCTTTTACATAGTTACACGTTTCCGTATGTATGAATTCGAATTTCCCGCTCGATCGTTCGATTCCCCCCATCTTTCTTTTCCGATTTTTTTTCCTCCTCCTCTTCATACGATCAACAGCGATCAAGAGAAGAAGCATTCGTTCGAATTTTTCTCTCGCGATTATGATTATGATTTTTTTTTTTTTTTTTCTTTTACCGGATCCTCGATCGTTGATCGATCGATCGGCGAGAGGGCGCTAACAAACTGGTCACTTACAAGAAAAAACTAACCTCCCGTCGATCCCACCGATCACGATCGAGATCCATCCGCGCGATCCACGCGGGAAACTTCGATTCCATCATTTACAAATTATCTTTCTCTCTCGTACATTTATATTACTCCGCCCATCCGCTCTATTTTTCTATTCGCAAAAAATCAACGCTATTTCCTCGATCAGGTTGTTCGTGAACCACTCCTCCGCTCTATCTTTCACTCTCGCTCTCATTCTCTCTCTCTCTCTCTCTCTCTCCCCTCCATTCACCCTGTATTCGTGTATTCGTGTGTACGTGTGTCATTTGTGTGTCACTCGCTAATGAATACGTAAGTGTAAACAATAAATAATGTATTTTTATTTTTATTTTTCTTTTTATTTTTATTATTTTTTTTTTTTATTCATCTTTACTCGCGTAAAATCTACGATCCTTTGGTATGTGCACGCGGCGATCGATCGAGATCGATCATCGCGGTCATCGCGCGATCCAGCCGTCCTCTCATCTGTCCTCTTTCGAGGGGAGAAAAAAAAAAAAAAAAAAAAAAAAAAAAAGGAAACGACGCCGCTAAAGCGAGGAATCGAGATCCATTCTACTTTGCTCTCTTCCTCTCTTTCTATCCCATCGATATACATATATATATATATATATATACATCGATCGCTTCGTCCTAGCTTCGCGGTCTTCTCCGATTTCCACTTCAGAAGAAAAAAAAAAAAAATACGTTCCACGACGTTTCCTCACAGCGTAGCGCATTTTCGCATTTTTTAAAGAGAACTCTTTAAAAAAAAAAGAAGCCTCGTGAAAATCCCCTCTTTCCTCTCTCTCTCTCTCTCTATCCCTCGACTATATATATATATATATATATATATATATAAAGAGAGAATACGTTCCATCAAGATTCCAACCAGTTCTCGAGACCGCTCCCCTCCTCTTTCTCTCTCTCTGTCTAACTCGGAGATAACCGACACGATGAACCCCTCGTATTATAATAAATATAATAATGTATACTTGCTTTTGCACTTGTATTTTTTACATTATTTCATCTCTGATTAACTAATCGATACCTTATTGTCGTACGAACCGTTCGCCCGTTCTCTTTTCACTCTTCTCTCTCTCTGACTCACTCTCTCTCTTTCTCTCTCTCTCTCTCCTGACTTTCCTCCCCCTTCCGCCGTTGACGAATCTCTCTCATCGCGCTCACCGCCCCGATTAAACTAGTAGCAGATATTCAGTTCGTGAACGGTTTCGAAACGCGGTCCTCGGACTACCCCCTCCCTCTCCCCCCCCCTCCATGTGGTTTCCGAATTTTCTTCCGATTTACTCGCAATTCGCTCGTTCCACGTTATAAATATTATTTATTTGTATTCTTTTTGTATCGATAATTTCCTCCAATCAATAAATCTTTTCTTTGTCTCTCTTTCTTTCTTTCTTTCTTATTTTGTTGTGAACGTTATCGAAAAAGTGAAAAATTTTTTGTTTTGCTTTGCACGTATAATTTAAGACGTGTAATTCGGGAGGAGGATAAGAATTTTAAAATATATTGTTATTGTCGGAACGGAGCGAATCGAGTAAAGAGCAAAAAAAAAAAAAAAAA